ACATACATACATACATACATACATACATACATACATACATACATACATATATATATACACATACATACATACATACATACATACATACACACACACTCAAGAGTTTAAATTTACTAGAGGTAATCACCCAATATAACAGATAGATGAGTAAAATAAGAGGGTTAAAAATGGTGAAATGCAAATGAAATATATTAGAAGGGGAAATAACATAAGGAGAATTGTATCGATTTCAAATTGCTATTAGAAAGAACAGAAAGTTCCTGTTTGTACTGTATTGTGTAAATGTAGTGTATGTCTAAGTTTGGTGTGTGTGTATTTTATATGTTTGTAAATAAATTTAAATTTTTTTTAAAAAAAATCTTTTTCCGTTTTGTGTGATGCAAGAACCGAAAAGGCCCTGCATGTCTTTCAAATGTATGGGTAATTTGCTGAATGAAGGTTCTTCAATACAAACTTTCCCAACCTGGTCTCTTTCCAGATGGGTTGAACTCCAAGTCACATTGCCCTCACATTGCCCATATTAGTTGGAGCTGATGACAATCCATAGTAGGGCACCATATAGAGAAAAATATCTTAGAGCAGCCTCATGGAAGAGGATGCCAGATTTAGTGTGCTCCTTAATTCTCAAAAGCTGAGCAAAAATGGACAATCAAACCTAATACATTTTCCATATCTTACAAATGGTCTTACTACCATTTTGTCTTGGAAATGTCCCAATTAACTTCTAAAAAACATATACAATTGGATCTATCAATACTGGAATTTGTATTTCCAGGACTCAATTTTCAATGCCCTATCCCATGGGGACAATAGTTTCAATGCAAATCTAGTTTTCAAGAATCGCATATACTGCGAACTTTCCAATTCTTCCTATAAGGAGGTCTTGTCGCCTCCTATTTATGTTCCTTTGTGAGCCTAGCAACGGTTTCATTATTATGGCAGACATATTCTTCTAGTAAATATAACACAGTGCAGTTATAGGTTAAAGGGCAAATACAAGTTAAAGGGTGTTTGGAGTTCAAACACTAGGTAATGTTTGCTTGGTACACTTATTTGTGGCTCTGATGAAATCCATTTGTTCACAGGTACATTAACTTATCTTATGTAATACTATAGTGCAGTTTTTAAAAAGTCCACCTCTGTCACATAAGGTACTCAGTAGCCTTAAGACAAGCCATTTGCCCTCTTAGATCAACACTGTACTTCCAAGGAGAGCCAACTAAATGTCTTGAACATGTTTGTTTATGTTAGCTATCATTATACTTTTAATTTTCAAGGCTGCTCATGCTGATGGCCTTGGGAGGCTTAAAGGAAGTTAAAAGAAGAAATAACAGCTAGTACAAGAATAAGTAATAAATGATCATGTTGGGAGTAAAAAATCAGTTCAAATAGTGGATTCAAATCATTTCTTGGTCAGGTGTCTGGGAAAAGAGTCAGACCTTCAGGTTTTCTTAAAGGAAGTAGGGTAAGAGTCACAGAGATCTTGGGTTTAGGTCAGGGGTGAGATCCGACAGGCTTAACAACCAGTTTCACGTGCATACGCTACGACGTGCACTCTGTGTGTGTGCACCAGAGGTGGGTTCATGCCAGTTCTATAGAAGAGGTTCCACAAATCTATTGTGCCATTTAGAACCAGTTCCAGCTCCTCCCCACCTCCCCGTCTGCACCACACTTGCCCCATCGCTGCTCACTGATAGGCTGGCTCACCAATCGCCCCGCCCGCCTCTAAGAGTCCTATCTAAACCTTAAAGTCTTAAAGCTGTCAAGTCTGAACACCCTTGAGTTTTTTTTTTCTAAAGGGTTAGGGGTGTAACTTGACAGCTTTAAGACTTGCACATTTCAATGCCAGAGTTCCTGAGCCAACATGACTGGAGGAGGAATTTTGGGAGTTGAAGTGCACAAGTCTTAAAGCTGCCAACCCCTGGGTTTTTTTTCTTAAGAGTTAGGGGTGCAAGGGTTTTGTAACTTGACAGCTTTAAGACTTGTGTGCTTCAAATGCCAGAGTTTTTGAGCCAACATTTTGGTTGCTAAGCAAGAGCGTTATTAAGTGAGCTTCAACACATTTTACAAGTTGGCCATGCCCACCCAGTCACATGCCGGCCAAGCCACTCCCACCCGGTCACATGGCTGGCAAGCCACTCCCATCTGGTCACAATCCCAGCCCTAGTTTAGATGTAAGATGTGAGAGCACTATTATTTCTTTTGGAAGGTCCATAGGACCAGCTTTGGAAAAATGGAAATTATGGAACGATTTGGGTCTCACCTGTAGTAATCTCAGTTTTTTCAACTGTTTGAAAAATGTTGGAACAATATCTGTATCTCAGATAGGTCGGGAAATAATTTAAAATAATATACATACCTTATTGGCAGGAATGATGTTTTTCACATTGAAGTAGAATCCAAAATAGACCATATTAAAAACTCCATGACGTCCCAAAGTAGCAGACAGCCCTTTGTTGAGTCCACGCAGACCCCATCCATTGGCCTGAATAATTTGGTGAGCTTTAGCAAAGGTGGATGGTTGCTATACAAATAAAGCAAAGGACAAAAGTCATTCATTATTTTTAATTTTTCATCATGAGCAATAAAATCAATCATGTTTTTTATTCATTATTTTCCCATAAACAGACACTATCTATTCAAAACAAACATTTTTTTCCCTAAACAACTACTCAATTATCCCATCCTCATTCATTTTTGGGTCTCTGAATGGCTCCCTCATTTTTCTTTACTTTCTAATTTTTCAATTTTTCATTTTCAATTTCTAATATTTTCCCTCCTTAGTACAATTTATCCAGACCTTGCTGAGTTTTTCCCCAACTTCATCTTTTGTTCTTTTAGTAACATTTAATGGACTGTAACATTGAATATTATGAGTCAGTGGATTCTGATTTCATATATATCCAAAATAATCTAGGATGAACCAATTCACATTTTCTGATGTACACTTTTCATTATACCTTCACTTCCCTGGATATTTGGCAAAGCAAGACCACTTTCATTTGGATACTTCCCTTTTCTCTTAATTTCACAGACAGACAAATTATATCTATGTGACTTTCATTCATTTCCTTCTTTAACCCGTCCTATTTATCATTTATTCCTTTTATGTTCCAAGTGACAAAAGCAATTGGACTTTGTTTTTTCCCTTTGAAAACATTTTTGTTTCTCATCTAAGAACTGAAGAAGCTTCTTGGATGAGAAATGAAAATATTTTCAAAGGAAAAGAACACAAAAAAAGTCTAGTTGCCTTTTGGGAAAAGCACCTTTGGAACAAGGTTCAGCATGAATTCAAGTCCAGTTGCACTTGTGCTCCATGTGGCATTCCTGTTAACAATAAAAACAATAAAGCTGAGTTTGGGCGTATTTTGGTTAATGCCTCATGCATGGACAAAGCCCAGGTTTATTCCAAGTGGGCATATATTGCGGTGCAAACTGGGACCTCTAATCTAGAGACTACTTTGCAAGTCCACATATGGCTGCCTGCATATTGTTTCCTGTATTTTCCCAGCTAGGAGGTTTATGCATCATACTGATATATACTTAGATTGTCTAGGTCCTTAAGCTTTCAAAATTCCAACCCAGGCCAATGCATTAATGTGGAAGATGTTTTTTAAATAATTGTCTAGCCCAGGTAAATATTTTTTCTATCAAGGTTTTATTTGCTTAGTTTTGTTGTTCACTAAAGTTATATTTGTGTAATCAAATATTTAATTAGAAAGGCAAAATATGACCGTCACAAGGATGCTTATACAGGGAAATAAAGACCATTTTGACTACAGCTCTTTAAACGATGCTAATTTCATCATGTATTCATTTGTTTAATGACAAAATGTCATCGAAATAAATCACTCAAATAAATCTTGCCAAGTCATCTGGTTTCTGCTTATTCAGGTGACAGTCAGGTTGGATATTCCTTTAATATATTGCTTCATTTTTATTTACATATGTTTGCCAGGTATTTATAACTTGGTCTGGTAAAAAACAGAGGAGACTTTGACTTAATTATGGAAGCTCACCATTAGTTGAGCCATGAATTAAACCAGACACTCTCAATTCAAGATAACAGATTCCTTCTACTGGATGAAAGATTATCAGGAAATGCTAAGGTTGTAGATCAAATTGAGAAGTAAAAAAAATGCACCCCAGAAGGTGACAATGTAAGGTCACGTCTGCACTACTGCTGGAGAACTGCAAGGTTGTCGTTATGTAGTTACCAGGAGTCAAACTAATTTTGAGAGAGACTCTACCTTATCCATTTGAAAGAGGGAACCCCCATTTGTAGTATATTGTTTTGAAGTCCTAGAAGAATTAACATAGTCCCATTATAGCAATTATTATATTGCTCTGATCATATTTGAGTGCTGCAGAGATTTGCTAGTGAAAGTACTCTTGAGTATTTAGCTCATCTTGAAACATATGAATCAGAAAATAATAATTTTGAGTTTTCGGTACTAGTTAATTATGGACTTAAAGCAGGACTCTACTGACAAATTTTAATCCAGTCCAGATTGTACTATTCATTTTTTATGACTTCAGCAAGAGAAAAAAAGCCCTTTAGTATATTCATCATTTTGCTTGTCAATAAATTTGTGGATTACATTTTATTAAATTATGTATTCTTATTAAGTGAATTTTGTAGCTACCCTAAAAAATTAAGACTGCAAAACTACCTTGCCAATTACCATGACCTTCAATAAGGCCTGCTAGTGTTTTAAATTAAAAAAAAATAGGAAAGGATTTTTTACCCCTTTTCTCTCTTTCCTTTTCTTTACAAAATTCTTGAACATATTCAAACATGTCAAGACGTATTGTTCACAGAGAGGTTCATTTCTATTGCATTTGAAGTCAAACACCATGTTTATTTACTTAAGAACCCTGTAGAGAAATCATGAGGAACAGCAGAATTATTAAGTTTCAGAAGGGGGTTGTGAAGTTCCCCTGTGAGTTTCTTTACGTTCCTCAATTATAAATGCACTTGCTATCTGTGCTCCAAAGCAGACCTTCTGAGGTGGAAAGGTTCTACTTTAGAAAGTTGTTTCCTAGGCCAGGGTTGTTTTAAAACTATTTAAGTATGTCTCTTTGGCATGTGTCATGTTATCAGATTGCAACTTAAATCCACAACCTCAAATACAGTATATTTTTAATAATTAAATTTGGTAGAAAACTGTGGGACCTGTGCTGGGAATACTTCTGAATAGTTTTGAAAATGCAACTGTTATTAATCTATTTGCAAGAGTGAAAACGGACTAGAGGGACCCTTAATTACCTCTATTGTTGTAAGAGTAAGGAGAGAAATCACTGCTGAAGGTAGTAGTGCCAAAGGGGCATTTCATCCCAAAGGTAGTATCACTCATAGATATGGCAAGTTTGACCTTCAAACAGAGGGGAAATTAGAATAGTATCTAAAAAAATAAAAAAAAATATTTAGATACGGTTTAGATGATGGACAGAAGCAATCTCTGAAATTTTTACTTCAGAAGGCTAAATAAGAATTGTACACACAAGAGGATGGGGCACAGTTTTTGCCCTCCTTACTGTGTCACATAGCTTTCTATTTAAAATTCAGGAAATTTAAAAGTAGTCTGTGAGAAGATGCATTTATTATTCAAAGAGACGAACTGACTGACTGACTAACTAACTAAATATAATCTCAGCTGAAAATTCCCAAGCTTTTAAGTACACATAGAAAGTGCATTTTGAATCTGTTTAATTGGTCTTTTTTAATGTTACTTTCATCAAAATCATAATTGACTCCTGGCAACTGCCTAGAGAAGTCCCTGCAGTTTTGTTGGGTTTCAGAAATGGTTTGCCATTGCCAACTTTCTAGGGTTAAGAGAGTGAGAGTAACTGCTTCCAGGTCATCCAACCATTTTTTTTGTTCCTAAGCAGGACTAGAACCCATAGAGTCTCCTAGTTTCTAGTCTGGTGCCTTAACTGCTACACCAAACTGCCTTTCTGTTTAGTCCATGCTTAAATATATAACTACTAAATTGTTATTATGTGTGATCAGGAATACAGGGTTGAAAAAATAGATTTTTCCCAATATGTAGAAGTTTATTGATCATTTTTTTTGGATAAATCTGATGGTGTGAATATGTGGCAAGATAAATCAACTATGCAGGTTTGGTTCTACTTATGTTGGGTGGCCACAAATAAGAGTAAAACAGTATAGTATAGAAGTTATATTTATTAAGCGCACAAGAATCTCACTATATGTACAGTTGTTAATGAATCAGTTTCTGGCTAGCAGAGGTGATTCCTTTGATGAATTCACACATTCATATCCACTAATGGGTTACATGATAGAGTTAGAATCACCTATTGTCCAAGAAATATGGTAGTTTACTCAGGCTATGACTTCTAATGCTTCTTTCCAATTGTTCATTTTCAATTATACAGAGAATGTTTGGGAAACTCCAGTACAAAATTTTGAAGCAGGTCTTCACTCGAGTACAGCACAGGACTTAGCAAGATAACTTAGGAGGAAAAAACACATTTTTTTCCTTTCCCATGTTTTGCTTGTTTCCCCTTCTGATAGAACCTGGAATTCATTTTTCTAAAATTATAGCATAAGATAATCTTCCTAAAACCTCTCTTCTCCCTGCTCCTTCAGTGTATTTTTTTCCTATATTTGATTTGATTTGTCATGTATTTTGATGTGACAACACTTAAACTGGAATCACCACTTATTTTTAACCAACTCAAGAAATCCCCCCTCCCCAGAGCTTAATGAAGATATATACATACAATTCAGCAGTTCCATTCCCCGACATATTGAAAAAAAAAATCCCAGTTACTCTACCTCTTTGAAAGCATCCCGATTCGCCTGGAGGCTAACCTTGACTACTTCAAAAGGGTTAACCACAACTGCTTCTGTTAGCCCGGATCCCAAGCCCGCAACTGCAAACGTCTAAAAGAGTTAAATCAATCAGTTTGCATGTGCTATGGTAAAACATCTCCATACATCACTTTGTAAAACTGAGCATTAAGCTGACTAATATGATGAAAGTGGAGAGACCAATTCTTCTGCAGTAGTATGCCATTCCTAAACAGCTTTCGTCCTTGATTAGATGTTGACAGTTCATGGAGAAAAAAAATCACAAAAGCCACAAACCGCATTCCAAATATTCAAAATAAAATGTCAAAGTCCAATCAACAATGCATTTCCTTTAGCTGGAAAAAAAGCTTTGTGACTGTTTTAAGAAATACATATGGGGGGAAAAGCGTATCATCCTCTTCCTTTTTAGCAAGAAAGCAGTACTGCATCAGGAATACTTTACTCATTATTATGTACATCATGTATTCACAGAAACAATTCTTTATATCACTTACAAGAAGTATATAAAACAAAGAGATAACTCATTAATTCTAATGCCAAGAATATAGAGTATAATGCTGCTATATTCCCAATTAAATGAAACAATTCATTTAAGTAAGTTCTCCATGACAAACTTCACAACTGAAGTCACAATTGACTCAGTAGTACTGAGTCAGATGTTCCATTTAAGAAATCAGCCAATACTATGATATCTAAAAAAAGAATACAATGCATTGAAAACTTCCAAAAGCCTACCAGAAAATATTGTACAATAGTTTTACAGGACGCTTAGCTTTATTTATATATAGGTAGTCCTTGACTTACAATCATTTGTTTAGTGACTGTTTTAATGTTACAGCATCACTGGAAAAAATGACTTACAACTGGCCCTTGCCAGGGGTGGGTTCCAGATTCTTTTACTGCTAGTTTGCTCAGGGACGTGCTTCGGCCATGTGCACACTTGATGCATGCTATGCGCACATGCGCAGTAGTAAAAAATTACTTCTGCGCATGCACAGAAGCAAAAAACAAGATGGTGGTGCCTATGCTGCCCCTGATAGAACTGGTTCGGGGGCATGGGCGACCGAGTTACCACCTACTTGGTTGAATCGGTCCGAAGCAATAGGAACCCCCATCTGGCCATTGCACTTATGGCCATTTTAGCATTCCCCACAATGCTGTGATCAAAATTTGGGTGCTTGTCAATCAGCATGTATTTAGGACAGTTGCAGTGTCCTCAGGTCATGTGACCACCATTTCCCAGCAGGCCGCCATCAAGCAAAGTCAATGACCCCCATGATTCATTTAACAACTACAGTAATTTGCTTACTATCTATGGCAAAAAGGTGATAAAATTGGTTGTAACACACTTAGCAACTGCCTTGCCTAGCAATGGAAATTGGAATTGGTCCCAATTGTGGTTGTAAGTCCAGTACTACCTGTATTCACACACAGACACACCACAAAATATATTGATGAATCATTTCAGAGAAATATTTCTTTGGATTCAGCAGCTGTAAGATACTGAAAGTTTGGTATGATTGTGGCTTCAAGGCACACATCCCCCCACTCCAGTTAGGATTTCTGGAGCACACAACAACATTCCCAAAATACACTTTATTAATATAAACAAATAATATTCACCAGACTTGACAAAAGTCCAGCACAGATTGAGATGGTGCTTAAAACTTATAAAGCAGCAGCAAGACTATTTGTAATTCTTGTATCTTCTATAGAATAAATTGAAACCTGAAATGAGGATCATTTCAGGAAATGCCTGAGACTCTTTAAATGAGTCAGAGGTAGAAAAATGGGGAAATTGCAATAAATATGTGGAAATAATGAAATGTAAATTTGGCTCAAAACTAAACATACGTATCTGGGAGTATACCATATTACTACTAAGGACAATGGCACTCTGAGCCATTGCATTAGTATCGGTGGAATGGAACATCTGGGTCTTTGTAATTTATAAATTCCTCAGAATAATCTCACAATCTCACATAATCTGCATATTGAATATGATGATGTACATGATCTATATTTTTAGCTGAACCGCTATGATTCAGACTTGTAGTCATCTATGGTTAGTCCGACAAGCAGTGTAAGCTAGGCTCTTCCAATAGAAGAGAAATATCAAAGCAGAGCTCCTTCCACTTTATCCCCATTGGATAGGTAGACAGTGCATTAGGAGGGGTTATGTGGGATATAGAATGTTGTATGCACCTCCAATACTTTCATGCTAATTGGAAACTCCATCTGTTGAAAGGGGCGTGGCTTGAAATTAGTCCCCTTGATGACCTACTAGGTTGCTTTAGATTGGAGTGAGATCTGGAATTTCTTCTCATGAATTCAGATGTTTCCCTTCACTTTATCATCCTCTTCTTTTAACCAGCTGATATTCTTAATGGAATTGAAGGTCATTGAGGAGCCTTTTTTGTCCTTTTAATATCTCACTATTTATAAATGTCAATCTGCAGTGCTAATCTTCTATGAAGAACATTGACCCTAACCATTTTTAAGAATGGTGATTGGTGAATATATTTTAGTACTTCCCCATCAGAAGGAAGAATTTTGAGGGCTATTTGATGACATGCTTTTTTTTGGCTGAATATCATATCATATACGGAATCCTTTCTCCCCTAAAGTATGGGATGAGGTCTTCTTTTTCTGAGGGCTGTCTTTTAGTGCTTATTTCAGACACATCAAGTTGACACCAGTGGTGTCAAAATTTCAAAAAAATTTGGAACCTCTTCTGTAGGTGTGGCCTGCTTTCTGGGTCCACTGGTGGAACCTCCTCTAACCGGTTTGGTAGATTTGACGAACCGGTTCTACCGAATAGGTGCGAACTGGTAGGAACCCACCTCTGATGTATATCCATACTGGCCACATGACCACAGAAATAATTGTGTCAGCCTCTGCTTCGCTGCTACTTTTCGGCTGCCATTGAAACGGGGAGCGGGGCATGGGATTTG